TATTAATCATAGCTTTAACAATGAATTTTATATTGTAGTGAATAATTTTGAGCCATTCTGCTTTATATTCAGGAAAAGATAATATGAAAAAATTTATAGATATTATTGATTAATTTTCCTAACTCTTACTTTTGATTATATAATCTTTCCTCATTAATAAAACTGTCAGTTGCCCATACTGCATCAAAAATGAGTGCATTTTCCTGTTTTTCCCTCTAAAATATATTTTAAAAATATAATTTTCAGTCAGAACACTGATTTTTGTGCACTGTAAAAATTAGAACTTTGCCAAATTCTTATTTTTTAAAAAATAGTATGTTAGGGGTTGTGAAGTACAGGTTATCTTTATTATTGACAAACTCTTCTTTCCTTATCTCTGACCTATTGTGGATTTGGGTTACACAAAATTGAATGGGAACGTCTATTCTCATGTGCATTAAATATATAAAAATGAGTTGAGCTATATGGGCACATCCATATGGTTTCATAGAAACAATACCTGTACTGAGGTTATTGCTGTTACATTCTTCCAGGGTATTCATCTTCATATTCTGCTCTAAGCAATCCAAATGTTTATCACAGATAATTAAACAATAGGGCAAACATTTTAGCACAAACACTGGCACAACATGAGGAGTCAAGCAAGATGCAGCTTCTTCCTTTTAGAGGGGACAACAATAGAGTTTCAAGTCCGCTCAGTATTTTATTACATAATATGACACTATTTTTGTCTATATAATAGCAACAATTTTTATTCAGTATTATAGTGCATTTTTTATAATAACATGGACTTAATTGGTCAAATTGTAGTGTGAGAGAATGCATTCCCTCCCCCTAAATATTATATCTTTTTAAACAGGTTACCATTATATCTTATCTAAAAGTAAATTATGCAGTTTATTGCTTTTCTCATATTGGTATATTTTAAATCTTTGACTTTAGGAGAGCAACACGGAGAGGAGAAAATTGAGAAGAGAAATTTGGGGAAAAGTAAATTGACTGTACAACATAAATGTAGTCCTTGACTTATGACCACAATTGAGCCCAACATTTCCATTGCTAAGCAAGACAGTTGTTAAGTAAGTCATGCCCCATTTTACAAGTTTTTTTGTCATGATTGTTAAGCAAAATATTGCAGTTAAGTCAATATTAAGTGAATTTGACTTCCCTCCATTGACTTTGCTTGTCAGAAGCCAGTCGGGAAGGTCACAAATGGTGACCACATAAACCCTGGGACACTGCAAGTGTCACATGCCAAGCGTGTGAACTTTGATCATGTGACAATAGGGATGCTGCACCGGTCATAAATGTGAGAACTGGACATAAATTACTTTTTTCAGTGCCGTTGTAGCTTCAAACAGTCACTAAATGAATGATTATAAGTCAAGGACTACCTGTATTTGGATTCTGTCATTGATCTGCATACTATTAGACCACATTTAATTCTATTCCTAATTTCTGGGCATGGTCTCCAGATTTATTGCTGTTGGTGATATTTTTCTTCTCTCCTTTAATTGATTATAAACACTTATCAGTTCAGAGTCCGTTAATTTTTCAAGTTGTGAAATTTCTATTGAAAACTACAATGTGTTATAATGTTTTCTTACAAGCTGTTTTCTGTTGTTTGAATGTAACATTTCTGTATTATTTATTACTATCATGTGTTCACCATGTTCATTTTGAAACTGAACTCTTTCAAAACATTCATTCTTGAGTAGTTTGAATGATATTGTACCATGCAAGATTTTCTTTATTGAATAATATTGTATAATAGGTTACTATACCACATTTTCCAGCAGAAATATGATTTATAGATTTGTTTTTCTGTTTTCCTCAAATTTTGGATATAATTGTCTAGTTATATTTGGAATTTTGGAATTTGGATTTTTTCCAGAAATAACTTGGTAACTTTCATTGCATGCTCTTTAGACTGATAACCATATAGTTACAGGATCATAGAACTAGATATCAGTTAAATAATCTAGAATAAGGAAGTAATATTTCATGTGAACAGATCAATCCCAGCTTGTTTTCCTGACTTGTTAAGTGCACTGAACATTCAAGTTTTTTGGGTATGTACCCAAAGTCAAATAATAAATTCCTTTTACGTCCTGCCAAAATGTTCAGTATGAATTTTCTTTAGCTGAATGACTGAAATTATAGTCTGTTTTCTTATGAATTCAAGTATATCTTTGATTTTTAGTTATTTTTGACATTCTAGAATATTTTTCCATTATTCTTGAGCTTTACTCTAGATTGATTGATTGAATATGCATCATGAAGTTGATTTTGACTATGTGGTCACTAGGAGTCAAAAATGACTTGATGATAGATACTCAAGAGGCAACTTCATTTTATCATTCCAAGCAATTATCATTCTATTTTATATCCTTCTATATTTTTTCAACTTCTCTTCTTTTGTGAAAATGATCCTAATAATCCCAAGTACTTATTTATCCAGGTACTAACTTCAAAACTCTGTTGTTACTACTTTGCCTTTCTGACATGGCACATTTTTCAACCTGCTTGCCTTTGTCTCAATATGTATCTTGGATTTTTCTTGGGATTTTTTCCCACCTGTTTTCCCATAAGCATATGTTCTTAAGTATAAATATATATGGCGCTTAAACATTATGGATAATAATCTGGTCGTAGTTCGCTATGCATATTTTTATAAAAGGTTCTTAATTGATTTATTATTTTTGAAACATTTATTTTTCAGGTTTTAAAAATAAGCTTGCTTGGCCACAGAAAACGCATTTTGGCCTCATTGGGAGACAGACTTCACGAAGATCCACCTCAGAAACCACCACGTTCTATCACCCTCAGGGTAGGTTCCATCAAATCCTTGTAACATCTGAAGCATACATTGTAAGTCATAGTATCTTCCAACACAGATATTATTTAATAACTAAATCTACCACTATACAATTATTACATTTGTAAATTTCTATAAGGGTGCTTGAGCTTTGTGAGATGAGGAGGAAAAATATCAGAATTTGCGCTTTAAAAAAACAACTATTAATTTTATTGCGTCCTCATATTTAGCTACTAGAATACTATATACTGGTAGTCCTTGACTTATGACCACATTTGGGACTGGTATTTCAGTCACAAGTCAAGACACCACATGACTTGACCCAATTTTTCAACTATTTTTATGTCACTCATTGAGCAAATCATGCTAAGTGAATCATGCAGTCATAAATCTGAATCCCACTTTCATGAATGGTTTTTTTTTCTGGAAACAGGCAAAAAATAATGAAAAACAGCAAAAAAAACCTCTAGAAACCAGCGAAAAAGATTCACAAAGTTCAAGTTTTACTATTTTTATTTATTTTTTTATTTAAATGGTCACCAATTGTAAAACTTTGGGTGACTCACCAGAACAGTAGAAACAAGACAAAAAAATATGGAAACAGTAAAACCAAAATCTGGTGCCTCAGCAATTCTTGTTCGACCCATCCGTCCCCAAACTAAACCTGGGCTCCAACCTGACCCTATCCCAGTGCTTGGAGAAGAGCCAGCTCTTTTTCAGTTTATTTGTGAGGTGGTCTCACAAATAAACTGGCCCCGTGCCATGTAGAGTTTTAAAAGTATTAACTAGCACCTTGACTTGCATTAGGAAAGGTACAAGATGACAGTATAGCTCACACAAGGGTGGTAGAAGATGGGCAAATCAAGGGACACCGAACACTGCTTTCACTACTACATTCTGGACCAGTTATAACTTCTGGATTGTATTCAAAGGCGGTCCCATCTAGAGTATGTTACAATAGTCCAATTGGGAAGTCACTATGCATTAACATAACTACTTAGATTTTTTTGTGCGCAGTATTAAATATTCAGTTAAAGTCAAGTCTTCTATTTTTTATTAATACTGTGATCTGTAACCTTATTTAATATCTATGTACTGCCAAGCCATAAAGCACTATTTTCCTATTTCATTAGCTGATATTTCATGATTACCCTGATATTTTAATATGATTATGTGGTACAAACTCAGTCTTACTAATGTTTATATAACAACTGTCTGTTATATAAATACAATTTTATTTTTTATGGAGATTGGAAAGAGATTTATTTGCTTTTAATTACTATTTCTGTTCAAATAATAAAGAAAGCTACTACAGATTACAGACTACTCTTTCTGCAATGGTTATAACTATGCAAAAAGGTCATAAGTCACTTTTTTCAGTGCAGTTGTAACTTCAAATAGTCACTAAACAAATAGTTGTAAGTCAAGGACTACCTATATTGGAAGGGTTATTTAGGCATCGGGTCAGGTTTGACCCATGTAGAAAACCAGTTTTAAATATCTTCAATAACATCTCCAGCCTTCACGTGTATTGAGATCTCACTACTTGCCCATAATGACACTGAATCAACTGAGAAATCATTTTCATTGAGAGCATTTTAAAACTGATATATTGTTAAACTGAAATTTTACTAGCTGTTCATAAGTGTCTTATTTCATGTCCTATATGCTGTGGCACTATTTGATCTGTGAAAACTCTTCAGGTGCTTGAAGAGCAGTCATTGTTATCACTAATAGCTTTATGATTTCCTTCTGGAAAACAGTCTTTTCAGCCATACAGGTAATTCCTTTATATGTGACTTCTTTTATGTATATAGCTTTGCTAATGATGTCTCTTATATGTGTAACTATGGTAATATTTAAAAAAAGATCCTTAAATCCTGTAAGAAGTGAGAATTCAAGTTATTGAATTATCATTGTCAGTTTAAAGTTTATGAATTTTCTACATTTCTAAACACTGGCCAGTACTGGAACTATTGTTTACCCAGAATTGAGTATACCCAGAGTGTTTTATTCATGTTATTAATATGAATTGAACAGTGCAGGTGTTCTTGCACATTTAACTTCAGTAGTGTTTCTCAACCTTGGCAACTTGAAGATATGTGGACAATGTGCTGGCTGGGGAATTCTGGGAGTTGAAGTCCACATATCTTCAAACTACCAAGGTTGAGAAACACTGTTCAAGAGTATTGAGAATAGTGTTTATTTCATGCTCCCACTTTCTTTCGTATTTGATGCAGGAACCCAGTGGTAATCACACTCCTCCCCAGTTGTCTCCTTCACTCAGCCAAAGCACTTACACTACTGGTGGTTCCCTGGATATACCACACATTATCATGCAGGGAGATGCAAGGAGAAGAAGAAATGACAGTTATTTTGATGATATTCCTCGGTCAAAACTGGAAAGACAAATGGCACAGGTAAAGTTGGAAAATTCCATGTTCATTAGAAAGGTATTTTTAAACATTTGTTTCTCTAGCATTATCTTTCAGAAATTGGTGTTTGATTTTTCAGCTGAATTTTCCTGTTGTTTTTTTATCTTTTTAATTCTTTTCAGACAACTACACTTTCCCCCACCAGTGCTTTATAGAATTCTGTAAACTTACAGTTATTTGTATCTGGGATATGTGAATAAAATGATTGTGTAAAATGAAAACAAAATCTGCTTGCTTTTGAATAATAGAACTACTTTCTGTTGTTCATGATGAAAAACCTACGGTATTTCTCCTTTGTCTGAATGATACAGCTAGGGCTAGGCTATCTGATAACTGCTAGTCTGGAAACAAGTCAGAGGCGCAACAACATGGTTCATTCAGTAAGCCATATCCTCTTCTACTGCTTTCCCCTCTGGTTTTGCTCTTCCCATTGATATGTCAACACTGCTGTCCCTGAATATTTCACTGACCCACTTTGCTTTGTTTTCATTCTTCTTTTCTTCCTTGAGATAGTGGTAGTTAGTAGTGAAGTGTGGTGGTGGTTATCATGATGATTTATTCTGATTCAAACATACAATATGTTTCACTCTTCTGTGTAGATGATGTAATTTTTACTACCTAAGGTGATTAAAGGTTATTATAGAATACAGTATTGTTCTTCTCTGTGAAATAATTTTAAAAACAATTTCATAGCAATAAATTCTCATATAAATCATCTAAAATGCTCTAGCCCAAACAGATTTGACAAGCTGTAGAATAAACCTGTTCTTTGCTGCCTATATGACTTGTGTATTCAGGAATGCATGTCACAGAATACTCTACTCATAATAGAGAGATGGATTTCTTTAAATTTGTCTGAGTATACTGTGGTTATCAAGGAAAGGGAAATATTTTCTTGACATAGGAAAAGACTTTCAGACCTGTGAAATACACTACTACAGCTGAAAATCACTTGGGACATACTGTATAGTAAGGTGACCAACTTTTTTACAATGAAAAGGAGGACACAAATAAATTGAAGAAAAAAATATCGTAAATAAAAGAAACATTTTATTCATTGCAACAATAATACAGACAACTTACATGTGCAAAGTTTGCCGACTGGGTGTTTTGGCACGCTCAGCAGCAATTCCTATTGGCTTTCAAAAGCCAATAGCGGGAGTAGCACAGCACATGCAAAAGTTGAAAAAAAACCATCAAAAAAAGGTGCCGGAACGCCATTCTAAGCGTTCTATGACAAAAAAAAAAAAAAAGCCCTGCAGATTAGTCTTCAAATATCAAAAAGGAGGACATGTAGGAGGACACTTTTTGAGGGAGGACAGAACTTACAAAAGGAGGACTGTCCTCCCTAAAGGAGGACGGTTGGTCACCTTATGTATAGTGACCATATCTCATTAATTTCTTGTGAATTCTTGGAACTTAATGAAGTTCAGAATTTTTGACTGTTGAGGCTGTGTAGGTAACCTGTGATAGCTTTTGTATTTTTTAAAAATCAATATTTTTAAAAAAGATGGAAAATAATTTCTTAATTAGTTTTTCTAATTTAAACTATTTTTTTTTAATAATTTGGATAAAGAATTTACAATGGACAGCCAAGAGGAAAGTAGCCAACTTCAAAAATAAAATCCCATCATCCTAAGGGAACTGCTAAGCTTTCATAAGACATAGGTTTAGTTAAGAATATTGTGTTTCGGTAAATTTGTTTCTTATCAATTCATCAGCTCTGAAAATCTATTCAGTTCTGGAATATTTCCATTATTTTTGCATTTACTGTAGTTTTACTATTCAGCTAATTTACAGCTAATTTGTAAAATTCCACCTTTGCCAGGGGAAATGTTTTTTTGATAGAAATATTTTTATAAAATTGGCTTACAATACAATTGGCTTTAACTTCTATTGATATAAGAGAATTAAGAGAACGTACAGAAATTGGTATTTTAGAATTAAATTGCAGGGTGCACCATTATCTACACTTTTAGATGGGATTTGTTGAAGGCTTTCTAATATATATATCATTATTTATATGAAATCATATAAATAATTAAATATAATTTTTAATTATATATAATTAACATATATTATATATTATATATACCATATATATATTATAATTATATATAATTAAATATATAGTTAACGTATACATATTTTCTAGTCTTAAACTAGACATGATTAGTCCATTAATGACAGTAAAGCAAACATATACAGTATATGATCAAAAATGTTCAAGATTTCAATCTAAAGGATAGTATACTTGAGTTCCTATCTGCAAAACTGCCTTTGGATTATGTAAATTATTCTCTGGTGGTGCATAGAATGACAGATGTCCTATCACGAACCATATTGTATCCATCTGAAACTATGAACACTTTAAACAAATGTGAAGACAGTTGAGGTCACAAAGTTTGATGGTAACTTGACTTGACATCCATTGTTTGTTCAAGTAAACTTTGCTGTGACCCTAACCTTGATTCTATTGTCTTTTATCTCTCAGTTTTCAAAAGAACAGTTTATTTTCTCCTGCTGAATTGGATTTTCTTTTAATCTACTAGCTGAAAGTACTGGAAGAATCTGTCTCTAGAATATAAGACAGCTTTGAAAACTGCAGAGAAAATACATTATTAAAAATGCTTACTTTAAAAGAACAGCAGTTAAAGAGTTTGAATATGATAACCGCCAATGTTTTAATAATTTATTTTTGTAATTAATCATTTTTGACATTAGAATTTCTTGCTATTTGAAGAAATATTGCTCATAAATTGTATAAAATAGAGAGTTTTTAAAAAATGGGTATTGAATATTAATAGATAGATCTGAAAGCATAGTTCAGATTTTAAAAAAGGGCTTTCTAATATTACTTAAGTTTGATATTTTTAAAACTCTGAAAAAAGCTGAAAAAATCTTAGTGCTAAAACCAGTATTAGAAAAATCTGAATAGATGTCTTAAACTTTATGGTCAGACCACTGCCATTAAAATTTATGTATCATTCAAATCATTCACTATGAAGCGTTCTAAGCTATATAAAAGCTATTTCTACAGGTTTTCCCAAAGCAAAATCAAACTTAAAAAGTGTGCTAGCTATGGTCTTTTGAATTCCATTTAAAAAAGAAAAAGATTCTAAACCTGAAAAGAGATATTATGGCAATATTTATGGCAAGTAGAAAGGAGTCAGACAAATTTTCATTCTGTAGTGCGTGTTCAGTGTATTAGAATACAAATAGTAAGGATAAATTCTGCTTTGAAAAATGCATCATTTCATTCCTTGGGGCAAACGTCTAGGAATTCAATATTGGTGATGGAATGTAAGCAAGAGGTTAGATTTAGGCAAATGGAGACATTCTTTTGTTCTTTCTAATTCTATGGAATCATTCCAGTGCCTTGGAATAACAAGAGTAACACAAGTTTTTCAGAATATGAATGCTAACTTTTAAAAATACGGACATGACTTTTAAAGCCCTCTATTAGAAGTAATTTAAAAAATATTCATATATTAAAAGAAAATACTTTTCTTGTCACTTGAAGGTGTCAGTGTATAAATACTGATTTTATGAAGATGATGTTATTCATTCCATTGTCTGACTCTTGGCAATTCTTTGGGGCAGTTCGATGTAGAGATTTTGTTATTATTTGTTATAACTTAAAATGAAAAACAGATCCATCCATAAGTATTCACAACAATGTTAGTTTCTGCTAACCTTGAATAGGCAAAGTTCTAAGATGTGGAAAAAGATTTCATATCTCCTTCATATTCCTGACTTGCATCAGATGGATTTATGCTAATTGATATAACTGGCCAGATAGGAGGAAGCTCTTGATTTCCTATGTTGAATGCTGGCTACTTTTTTAATACCAATAACATGATCTTATGTTGTCTCTGTAATTTTTAAAAACATTGTTCAGGTTGCAGGCATCACTCTGAATCCTGTGGATTTGACACAGTGAACTTCTATAGTTAAAATAATCGCTTTTAGTCTTGATCCAAGCATTTATTATGAGTTTGTAGAATTTTATTTGACAAGTGCCAGAGAAGAAATATAATACATGTTGTTTAGGATTAGAATTACAAAGTTATGCATAAGTAGCATATGGCTGCACAAGAATTCATAAACTCATTCTCCTAAAGTCTATTATTTTATAATTCTGTACATATTAAATTATTGAATGAAAACAAAGCTAAAAACTTTTCTATTTGCATTTAGTTCCCAGGGATTTCATGGCACTATAAGGGGTAGTTTTTTTTTTTTTTTAATGTTCAATCTAGCTACGTATCTGGGACATCCATCCAAATGCTATCTAGATATGGCACTGCTTAGAAGTTTGAGAACAGCAAAGAACAGGTGCTGCTTTCTACTGAGCTAGATGATTTAATATATCAGCCTTTCCCCATCTATATTATTTGTAAGTAAAGGTTTGGTTCAGCGCTTAGTTTATCAGACTTGAAGTTAGTTGAAATTTTATCCTGCTCAAGACCAAATACAAAGTATAAACTATAATTTATGGAACTAAGCTTTTCTTCTATTAAAAATTATATTCAAGCTATCCAAAAACTTGCTTTTTTTAACCTGGAAACTAGCTGCTTCTAATTTTAAGAATATATTTGACAAGTTAGCATTTATTATTCCTTAATTTAATTTTTTTAATATTTTCTAGGTCACTTTTTAACTTGGTTATAAATACTTGGAAATCAGAACAATTTTTGCATGCAGAAAATATTGCTATACTGATACATTCCCTTGATTATTTATTCTTCAGTTTTTATTTAGATATTAAATACCTAATGGAGCCATCCAATTCAGTAGTCATTATTTTCAACTCTTTGCTGTCTTAGCCGATTTCTAACTCTTCTGGTTCTCTATTTACAAAACACAACAACACAGATTTTGAAAGAAGCTATTGTAACATATGCTTTGTCTTTTGCAGTATTTTGCAGCCGAAACAATAATTTTAGAAATACTTCGAATATAAACTGGCATTGCTAGGTTGT